CCCCAAAACCCCAAAACCCCAAAACCCCAAAACCCCAAAACCCCAAAACCCCAAAACCCCAAAACCCCAAAAAAGAAAAATTATATTGAATTTTATTTACAAATTTAAATATCATGCAGGAAGAAACAGAGCAGCAGGTTCTCCAGAGAGTCGTCGAGGACAAGAAGCAACTCGACTTCACTCTTACCGTCAAAGGAGTCTTTGCTCTTCCTCAGGAGTGGAAAGACCAGATTGCAGATGAAGCCCAGCCTTCGTTCGAGTATGAAGTCTGCACTCTCGGAATGGCAATCAAAGGGGGCAAAGTCATCCCCAGAGAACTCACCGAACAAGAGAAAGAAGAAGCTGAAGCCAATGCAAAGACCAAAGGAAAAGCTCCTCCTAAAGCCAAGAAAGAAGAAGATATTTCTCCCGAAGAGCAAGAACGACTTGACAAAGAAAGAGAGCAAAGGGAAGAACAAGAGAAGAAACTTCAAGAAGAATGGGATGCTCTTGATGAAGAAACCAAGTTTTATAGGACTCACGAAGACCCCTCCAAAGAGCCGAGCATTCGGTTCCAGATCGAAGTGGAAGACAAAGAAGACCCTCCAGCTCAGAATGATGAGGAACCCAAAGAAGAAGGCAAGGAAGACCAACATGAAGAAGAAGCAGAGCCTAAAACACACATGGAGGATATTTCAGTCACTGAGACCAAGAAGGCAGATGCATTGGCAGAGCTTGAAGAGTGAGTCAGATCAGAAGAAGGATGATGGATATATTTTAACAAAGTCCTTCCTAAAGAAGATGATGAAGCCCAAGATCCTAAAAAGAAAGCTAAAGGCAAAGGAGCACCAGCAGAGGAAGCAAAACCCACTTTTGGAAGAGCCTGGCTTGACTTAACAAACTTCAAAGAGCCAGGCGAGACCAAAGTTTCAACAAAAATATTCCTCGAAACTGCTGAGGCTCCAAAGCCAAAGGTAGAAGAAGGCGAGGGAGACCAAGAGCCAGCGCCAGAAGCCAATGAAGGAGAAGAACTCAAGGCTGAACTTGTCAAAGTTTTTGAAGAGCCAAGAACTTACATGATTCTTGAGGTTGAAATAAGTGAGCCATTTGTCCCAACTGCTGAAGACTTTGTGATCCAAGCTTTGCCTCACGACCTCATCAAGCCAAAGGTAGCTGCTAAGCCTCCTAAAGACCCAGAAGGCGACTTCAGAAAACAGCTTAGTCTGGCTATCGAGTCGGTCAACAAAGAGTACCTCGGAATGTTTGAAGAAGACCTACGCAGAGAAGGAATCGGAGGCTGAACTGACGAAACATTTGAAGCTAGGAAAGAACAGTTTCTCTACGACTTCAACACTTCAGGAAAATATCACACCATGAAAGAAAAACTTAAGAAGTCGATTGTCAGGATAGTCAGAGACACTTACAATAAAAAGAAGAGTTTCAAAGGACTCAAAATGGATGATCGAGACCACTTCTACTCCACAATGTACTCTCACTTAGTCAGCCAAATTCAGATATGTCTTTCAGGAATGGTCAGTAGTAGAAAAGACATTCTTCACGAGAATGTGCTCGTCAGAGACAGACAACTTTCAGAGAAAGAAGTAGAAATATTGATCAACCTTAAGACCAAGGAGACTGAAGATGAGAAACTAGCGAGACTGGCCCAAGAATACGAAGAACAGGGAAACCTTGAGAAAGCCCACAGATACATCGAAGAGAGAATTAAGAACCAGCCCGATTCCATCGACTTGTGGAGATCTTACGGATTATTCATGATAAGGAACTATTGAGATCTTACCAAGGCAGAAGAGTGCATCCGTGAGGCCATCAACTTGTGCGATGAGAACGATGACGACATCTTCCTTGTGTATGGGGCTTTAATGGTTCAGTTGAAGGAGAAAGAGAAGGCCCTCATATTTTTGAAGAAGGTTGGCCAGGAAGAAGACAACCCTCAGTCATATATCAGAGCTCAGCTCTTAATGTCTTTACTATACCATAATCTCGAAGATGAAGACATGAAGGCAAAACACTTTTCGCTGGCTTCGAGAATGCACCTTAGAGAGAAAGGTGAACTAGCTCACAAAAATACACTCAAAGAAAGTCCTCCAGAGCCAAGCACAAGCGATTTTCAGCGTGTGTTGCCAACTCTTAATGAAGAGCAAACTGACGAGCTTTACATCGATTTGATAGAATCAACTCTGATCCCAGAAGGAATCAACGAGTTGGCCAATGGCGTGATTTCTGTTCTCTCGGATGAAGACTCTCCAAAAGTTACACTCCTCAAAGCCAAGATTTTATTCGGTGAGAGAAAGTTTGAAGAAGCTCTAGAAATCATTGAGGAATATCTCGACGAAAATAAGTTCGATGTTGCAGCTATCAGACTCTTTGCTGACACTTATTATGAGCTACAGAAATACGAAGAAAGTGAGAAAGCCTATCTTAGAGCTGTCCGAAGAGGAGACAAAGACCCGGCTGTTAAGAAGAAGCTGGGTCTTATCTACATTCACCTTAAAAAGTGGAGAGAAGCTCTCACAGTTTTCACAGAATACTGAAATGAGATCGACCCGAAATGAGCTTATGCATGGAGGTACTTAGGAATGAGTGGGTGGAAGTTGAGAGTGATTGACGGAGCTGACTCTGCATTCTATTTCTCAAACCTTCTTGACAACACCAACCCTGACACTTGGGGACTTTTGACAGTAATCTGCCTCATCACTGGAGTCGCCCAGAACCGGGCATTCCAGACTTATCAAAAAGCAATCAGACTGGGCCTCGATAACTCAGAAGTGTTCTCTGAGCTAGCTTACTTGCTTACTAAAACAGAGAGAACTCACAGAGATGCTGAATACTGATTTGACAAAGCTCTGAAGCTTGACCCTGCTCAAGAAGATTTGTGGCTCAAATATGCTGAGTTCTCGGAACTCAAAGGTGACTTAGTCAAAACCATGTCTTGCTACGAGAACGCGTTGAAATATATCAAAGGCGAAGTCAAAGAGAGAGAAACTAATGAGAAGCTGGATAAAATCAGAGACAAGCACGACCTTCAGAAGAAGTCGATGCTTATTCAGATGAGAAATGAAGCCCACGAGCTCAACAGAGTTGGCACTCATTGCTAGAGAATTCAATTAATGAATTATGAAAAGGGGTTTTGGGGTTTTGGGGTTTTGGGGTTTTGGGG